CTGCGCCGCGTCACCCCCGCCGCGCGGCGCGGTGGCCCCGACGCCGGCTTTCTCCCTGCGGCGCCCCGAAGGCGGGAGGCGCGAGCGCTGATAGCGGAGGCCGACGCCGATGACGCCGACGCCGACGCCGACGGCGGACGATGGCGACGACGATGAAGACGACGACGACATCGACGACGACTACGACGACCGACTGACTGACTGACAGACTGCCTGACCGACCGACCGACCGACCGACCGACCGACCGACCGACCGACGACAGACGACGACCGGCGACGACGACGACGACGACCGACGGCGGACGACGGACAGACGACGACAAACGACGGACGGAGGACGGAGGCGATGGCGTCGACGGCTGGGCAGGCCGACGGACTGTGAATCTCGGACGACCACGGACGACCGACGACGATGGACGATAGACGCCGCCGCCCTGACGACGACGACGACGACGACTGACGACGACGACGACCGACGACGGATGACGGACGCCGCCAACGAGAAACGACAAACGGCAACGAACGACTGCGTCGAAGACGACATATGGGCGGCGACGACAGATCGAGGATCGAAGCTCTTGTCGTGCTTCTGGCCACTTCTGGGCCACCTGGGGCGCCCTCGTCGCCACGGCTGGATTCCCCTCGAGACCCTGACCAGATCGCACACCAAAGGAGACATGTTTCTTGCTTCACTGCACCAACAATTGACATCTGCGCGCTACTCTCGAACATGCCGTGGCCAACGTCCGCCGCCACGGTCGTGCCCACGAGCATCGCAAGCTCACTCAAAGGAGAAACAAGGACCAACACCACCCAGAACCCATCGGTGAGGGCCGACCCCTGGGCACTGGGTGGCACGCCCGAGCGTCGTTCAGTACAGAACGACGCTCATGCGTGCCACCGCCCGAGGGCCGGTCCCCCACCGAGAAGTCCCCGGTGGCGGTGGTCCACGCTTCCCCTCTTACTCACGGAGGAGGAACGAGGGAACGGCGGAGTCCCAGGAGACAGACGAGAGTCAGAGCACCGCTTCTCGCCCTGCTGGAGCGCCTGCCACGCGGAGCAGGGGGCGAATGAACCTCCACGAGATCGGGCTGCCTGGCCACACGCTCTGCGGATCGAGCGCCGCGCAGGAAGTCAGAACGCGAACGCGCCTGAGTCGCCGCATGAGCCAAGCAGGGTCAAGCCGGGGGCCTGCGCGAGGAGCCCGGCCAACGCTGCAACGAAACGGAAGCCTGCGGCAGGCATGCAGTCCTTCGTCTGGCCCGCTGGCAGCTCGATCACCCCTGCCCGCGATGCAGGCATCGATGCCTTCGAGGGCGCACACGAGGATGGTGAGATCGCCAGCAGGGAAGAAACCCAGGCCCGCGACAAGTTCTTACAAACAGCCTCTGCGTTGGAGAAGCTACGCGCCCTTGGTGGAGAAAGGGAAGGGGAGAGGAAAAGGAGGCAACATCCGGGGGGAAGAGGAAGGGAACAGGGAACAGGGGGAGAGATGAGGGGAAGAGGAGAGGAACATGAGGAAAAGAAAAAGGGCGGAGGGGGGCGAAGGAGAAGGGGGGGAGGATGGAAAGGAGATGGGGGAAAGGAGGAGACGAGGGGGCACACCCCAGGGAGGAGCCAGCAAGGAAGGTCCCAGGGCGCCTCTCTGCCCGGGCATGAGCCTCCACCCCCGTTGCCGTGCCATCAACATCGGGCTTCCGCCACCGTTGACAGCGCATATTCGGTCGCCACAGCCGCCGCCTGAGCATTAGTCGAACCCGATATCGACTGGACTGGAGGCGGGGGAGGAGGAGGCGGGGGAGGAGGAGGAGGAGGAGGAGGAGGAGAAGGAGGAGGAGGACAAGCCGCCCTATATGGCAAGGGACGAAACCATATACCATAGTTTTTCCCAGCGCACTCCGGCTCTGGAGGTCATCACTCCAGTGGTCCGCACGAACCCACTTCCAGCATGTCCAGAGGTACATCGCCCCGTGCACATTATGGCGCACGCCTGCAGGCGGCCTCAAGTTCAAAATCCTGGGGTGGAACTGCGCAGAGGAGGAATTCCCACATCCTGCCAGGCGTGCAATTGATGCAGCGCGCACTGAAGTGGCGCTGAAGCGGGACAGTTCGCACGGCACAGCGCAGGAAGCAGGACGGCGACATTTCCTTTACTTTCTGCAGGGAGGCGTCTGGGCAGTACCTCACTATGTTTTCAAACTGTGGAAGCATGGCGAGCAAGAGCAGAAAGAACCATCGGACAGGAGGGGAGGCGGGCCCCCCCTAAATAGCAAACACGCCCTGTTCTTTCTAGCATGGAGCGATAAAGACAACTAAACTATACCAGGACACAACGCAATCCTGAATGATCCCCCTGCTCCTCCGCAGACGGAAAACGGGGGAACAGCAAGATCACAGTAGGAGGGGACCGGGGCCACCCACCGAGCCAACTTGTCTCCTCTCTCTCTCTCTTTTGTGTTCTCTCTCTCTCTATATATAAGACTAGGACCATCGCGCGCTTCGCGCACGCTCAAGTTCTAGCTAGCTTCTTGGGGCCTCCTCGGAGTATCCTGGACTGCTTCTTGAAGCCGTCATGGGACCTCTTGGACAGAGTTTTGAAGCCTTTTGGGTGCCGTCTTGGGGCCTCTTGGAGCCTCTTTTGGATTTCTTGGGGGCTTCTTCGGGCCTCTTGGGGCCCCTTGGGGGCTTCCATTAGGCATCTTGGGGCCTCTTGGGGGCATCTTGGGGCGGAGAGCTTGATTTTTCAGTTCGCGTTCCCTCTGTTGGGCCCCTCTTGGGGCCTTCTTGGGGCCCTCTTGCGCCGTCTTGGGCGGCTCTGGGGCCGTATCGGGGCTCTCTTGGGCCGTCTTGGGGCCCTCTTGGGGGCCTCTTGGGCCGTCTTGGAACAGTTTTGGGAGCCTTTTTGGCGGTGCCTTAGCGCCGGAAACACGGAATAGCGAGACCGCCCAAAATAAATACAACAAAAAAACATGAAAATCAACAATTTTGCCCTCTCGAGGCGCTCTGGAGCGGCATCTTAAAAGCCTCTTGGGGCGTCTTGGGTCCTCCAGGGCAGTTTAAAACGCATCGTGCGTCGCTAGAGACCCCTGGACGGCGTCTTGGGGGTGTCTCGAGACCGCCTGGGGCCGCCGGAATTGCTGTCTGAGGGCTCCCCAAGGCGATTTTAAGCCTCCTGGAGGCAGGCCCGGGCCCCGATCCCCGGTCCCCACATTTGTGGTCGAGGTTCCGGCCCTCGGCCCCCGAGCCCGGTGCGCCGTTATATGTATATTAGCTCCCTTTCCCTCTCTCTGTGCTAGAACCATGACCCGCGCTTCGCGTGCGCTTTGATTCTAACGCGCGCCACGGCCAAGGCGCGACACAGGAGACGAGTACGACGACGAGTACGGCGGCTGGCACGACGTGGCGACGACGAAGGCGACGACAACGGCGAGTACGAGTGCGACGTCGACAAGGCAAGTGCTGGCAGCGAGTAGCGTTCCAACCCGCGGGCAAAGCACTTCCCCCCCGCTCGTCGTCGTCGTCGTCGTCGTCGTCGTTTTCGTCGTCGTCGTCGTCGTCGTCGTCGTCGTCGTCGTCGTCGTCGTCGTCGATGCCGTCGTCGTCGTCGTCGCCGTCGTCGTCGCCCGCGGGGCCGGAGAGAGTCTCGGACGGGCCTCCAAGAGAGCGCCGCGGGCGCCTAAGGGCGCTGGCACGTAAGTCACACGAGCGGTCTCTCGCATGACTTAACTTGCACTGCTGTTGGAGCCCTCCAGGAGGCCTCCCAGGGCCCCTGGAGCGCCCCGAGAAGGTCTCGAAAGTGTGCCAAGAGGGCTGCACCAGGCCGCAGAGGGCCCTGCAGAGGAGGGAAAAGTTCAGTCACGCGAGCGGCCATTCGCATGACTTGATTACAGTATCGATGTTTTTGGTACCCTCTGGGGGCCCTTCAAGGCCGCATTGGAGGGATCCTCAGAGGGTCTCGGAAGGGCCCCAAGAGGGTCCAGGGCCCCCAAGAGCAATGAAAGGTAAGTCACGGCAATGCTCTCTCGCGTGGCTTAACTTGCGCTGCTGTTGGAGCCCTCCAGGAGCCCTCCCGGGGCCCCTGAAGCTCCCCAAGAGGATCTCGAAAGGCCAAGAAGGCCCAAAGAAGAGCCCAAGAGGGGGACCACGAACCGACAAGTCCAGCCTTCCGCCCATAGAGGCCCCAAGAGGGCAAACAAAGGCCCCCAATCGGCCCCCAAGACGGCCCCGAGATGCACCTATCCGTGAGTTCTCCTTTAGACTTTCAATGTGTGCTGGGGTTCTCGCCTGTTCGAGCTCCCGACGCTCCAAGGCAGCCCAAGAGGCCCAAAATAAAGCCCCGAGACGATTCAAGAGGCCCCCAAGAATGCTTCAAGATGGCCCATGGGGGCTCCAAGGAGGCCTAAGGGGCACGGCCCAAGAGAGCAGCAAGACGGCTCCAAGAAGGGCCCCAGAGGGGGAACACGAACAAAGTCGAGCCTTCCGCCCCAAAAGACCCCGAGCAGGCCCCAGGAGGCCCCAAATGGGCTCTCAAGAGGCCCCCAGGAAGGCACCGAGATGAATCAATACTTGATTTCCCTTAGGGTGTTCGCTGTGATCGGGGTTCTCGCCTTTTCGAGCTTCCGACTCTCCAAGACGGCCGCAGAAGTCCCTAATACTGCTCCAATACGGCCCAAGAGGTCCCAGCAGGACCCCAAGGCGGCCCAAAATGGCTTCATGGCTCCAAACAACCCAAAGGGCGCCAGAAGCGGCCCAAGAGGGCCCCAAGGCGGGCCCAAGAGGAGGATCACAAACGGACAGTTCGAGCCTTCCGCTCCACAAGGCCCCCCCCAAGGCCCAACAGAGTCCCGAAGACTGCCCACGTAAGGTCCATGTGGGCCCATCAAGAAGTGAGGACGAAAGGTATCACATATGACGGCGTGATTCCTCCTCCAACTCCAACTCCTCTTCCTGCTGCTCCTCCTCATCATCCTCCTACTCTTCCTCCTCCTCCTCCTCCTCCACCTCCTCCTGCTCCTCCTTATACTCCTCCTCCTCCTCCTCCTACTCCTCTTCCTC